TATATATATATATATATATATATATTAATTTTATATATAAAAATTAAAATAATTATAAATTAACATAATATTCTAACCTCTTATTTAATCTCCTTCAATTATATATATTAATTTTATATATAAAAATAAAAATAATTTATAAATTAACATTATATTCTAATATCTTCTTTAATCTCCTTCAAACAATATTTTTGTTTATTATTTATTAAATATAATAAATAATAAATAAAATATTATCAAATTTTTGTTTATTATTTATTAAATATAATAAACAATAAATAAAATAATATCAACATATTAAAATTATATTATATTATATAATTATCAGTATCAATAAATTGTAGTTTTGAAAATTTTTTGAAGAAATTTAATAGAAGATTTAATAGGTTAGAATATATATATATATATATATATATATATATATATATATATATATATATATATATATATATATATATATATATATATATATATATATATATATATATATATATATATATATATATATATATATATATATATATATATATATATATATATATATATATATATATATATATATATATATATATATATATATATATATATATATATATATATATATATATATATAAATTTTATATATAAAAATTAAAATAATTTATAAATTAACATAATATTCTAACCTCTTATTTAATCTCCTTTAAATATATATATTAATTTTATATATAAAAATTAAAATAATTTATAAATTAACATAATATTCTAATATCTTCTTTAATCTCCTTCAAACAATATTTTTGTTTATTATTTATTAAATATAATAAACAATAAACAAAATAATATCAACATATTGAAATTATATTATATTATATAATTATCAGTATCAATAAATTGTAGCTTTGAAATTTTTTTGAAGAAATTTAATAGGAGATTTGAGATGATTTAAAGGAGGAGAAGCAAATAGAAAATTCAGAAGAAAAACTCAGAGAAAGAAGAAAAAGTGATAATAATATGAAAAACTGTAAAATAATGAAACTGAAATTTAAAGATATACGTCACGTAGCGACGTGAAAATCACGTTGCAATCTTGCCACGTGATTTTCACGTCGCAGTACACTTAACGGTCATAAAATATTTATTCACTCTGTCCAAAGATTGTAGCTTGTCAAGTCAAAACTATATAAATTCCCTCTTAAAAGTTGCGACGTGAAAAATACGTCACAACTTAATTTTTTAAATTTTTAAAAATTCCTCCATCTGAACATTACAGTTTTTGTTTTTACTTTTTCATTTTAGCTTTTTTGTAGTGACGTGAATCTTACGTCGCAACAAATTTCATTTAAAAAAAAAAGAATCTCTACAGTTAAGCGTTATGTTAATTTTTTTAATATATAAATTTATAGTGACGTGATTATCATGTCGCAACTGATTTTTTTTAGCCACGTGATAATCACGTCACAACTTTATGTTGCTGGAGAACACATTTCTTGTAGTGATTGCTATATTTAGTTGAAAGTTATTAATTTATAAAATTGTATATAAAAATACGTATTAGTTATATTTAATTAAAAAATTATATTTAATGAAAAAAATCATCCAATTACGTTAAAAAATTTATAGTATTAAGAAAAAAACTAAAATCCAAGAATCTAAAAAGAAATATGACACAAAACAAAAACAAAAACAATTTGCATTTATTTTATTTGTGTTTTTATAATTTTACATAAATAAATTATGTAAATTTATAAAAAATTTATAATTTATAATTTTATAAGTTTCTAAAGAAAAATCCACTTCTATTCGTATTTATTTTATTTTTGTTTTTTTTATAATTTTTAAATAAATAAATTTTGTAAATTTCAAAAAAAAATTGTGAAACACATAAATAAGAATAATATTCTTAAATCCAAAAAAATTATTGCTTAACTTGAGACAAACATACCATAAGAGTTTAGCTCAAAATGAAAAGTTTTCTAAACTCATGAATAAACAAATTAGTCAGATAAGAGATATGAACATTTATAATTTAAAATGAAAACGAAAATAAAAAATAAAATTCAAAAAAATCCATCTTAAAAATTCAAATGAAATTTAAAAAGAGTGAAGAAACATATTAGCTCTAAAGACATGTTCTTCAAATTTTGGCACCATCCCCTCAAATAAATTGGATTTATTTTTACTTCTTAAGAGTAGTTGGACTTACTTTAAAATAATTATTTTCTCCTGACACCCTCCTACTACAAAATTTTAGTAGAGACAATTTATTAGAATATAATATCTCTGGTCTTATTTATAATTTTTTTTAACATGTTAGATATATTAAATAAATAATATATTTAAATAATATATTTAAATAATATATTATTCAAATATATTATTTATTCAATATATTTAAAAAATAATTTTTTTATAAATAGAATTAAATCAGAAGGAGAAATATTTAATATGATCTAATTGGTGCTTATTATGTGACGAGTATGTAGAGTCGGTTACAAATTATATGGTATTTGTGGAGTGTCGGGGTCATTCATTGTGGTATATAGTTTATGTCATATAAGAGATACACAGTGTTTTTTTTGCCATAGACAACGCTTAAAAGCGCTGCCTATTCATGCACTGTTGTAAGTAAAGACATGACTTTTTGTCAATGTAAAAGTGTTGTCTAATGTAGTCTTTAAGCAACGCTTTATTCAATAAGCGTTTTCTAAAGGCCCCTATAGGCAGCGTTTTTTACATTAAAAATGCTTTCTAAAGTCTGTATATAGCAGCGCTTTCACTTTAGACAGCGTTTTTAAAACCGTTGTGTAATATATATTTTTGTTTACTTTTTTTATGTTTTAGGCCGCGCTTTCTTTAAAAGGGCTTTCTAAAGTCCTTTTTAGGCAGCGCTTTGTACTTCACAAGTGCACCCCTTTAGGCAGTGCTTTCTTTAAAAGCGCTTTCTATTCCTTAATATAGACATCACTTTTTTGTTTAAAGAGCGGTCTAATATTCACGGATTTTTTAATATATACAACTTATATTTTAAGCGCCATGTACAAATAATCACTTAAAATTTAAGGGTTGTCTTTCAAATTTGCACCATATTTCATAAATTTGCAGCTTCAATCCAATAAGTTTGCACCAAATTTACATATTTATATATGCAACTTTAATCCAATAATTTATATATACATAAATGGGATACAACTTGAAGAATTCAATAATTTATATATACATAAATTTACATATTTATAAATACAATTTTATAATCCAATAAATATGAACCAAATGTACATATTACTATCTTCTAGAACTGATATCTTCTCTACAAACAACAATAATGAAGAATCATAAATGAACTTGTTATCTCTATATCTTCTACATATGCACTTACTTGAAACAAAACCAACAAATACATATTAGAACCAAACTATATAACACTTAAATCTTATAACTATTATAATTTAACACAAATCAATGTAACAAAAATAAATCAAGAATCTGTTATAATCCACCATTAAAAATTTCCCGATTTATACCATGATACAAACAAAACTTTATTTGAATTTAAATCTAATACCATCCTAACTAATCTTCCACATAACAACAAACATTGCAACACAATTTACCACACTAATGACGACATAGTTGTCATACCCCAAATTTACCCTACCCTTACATTATGTTTAGGTTTCTTTTTAAATATATCATACTATATATTTTTATGGGGGGTGTTTAAAATCAAAGAGGGTGTATTGATACAAAATAGACCATCAATATTTGATGTCCCATTTGGTTTTTATAGGTTCCATTTCAAATTAAATAGGAGGTGCATGCTATTAAACAAACATTGAGTCATTTTTGAATCATAATGGTCCGTTTAGATTAAAGTGGTGTTTAAAGCAATTTGTTTTTGTTTGAAACTCAATGCAATTAAACCATAAAGGCCATTAAAAGAAGTTTGGAAGTCCATTAATAAGGACATATGGGGGTGCGTTTTTCCTTGTTTA